GGATAGCCCGGATGCAATATAGGGAAGGGAGAGAGGTCTGTCTCTGCTGCTGCTGCTGTTGCTGCTGCTGCTGCTGCTGCTCCCTTTCTGCTCTTGCTGTTTTTGCTGTTTTCCACCAACCTGAACTGCTGCCCCCCACCATGTGACACCCTGCCTTTGAGCCAGCTAAATACGGACTGAAACCTCCACGAACTGTGAGCTCAATAAACATTTCCTTCTTTAATTCTGCATGTGGAATATTTTGTCCCAGCAATGTGAGAAAAGTAACTGAGACAAGAACTATGACACTGGCTTTAGCATTGGAGTGCTGATTTTATAACATATATCAGCAATCCCCGACTCCCAGACACAGCAGTGTACTCTGCAGATGATCAGGTACATGAGAAACACCTGCCAGCTGTCCACAAGGAAATGCGTCCCATCACATTTCCAGTCATTTGTCTGAGCATTATGTCATTATTTAGTCTTTGTTTTGTAGAAAGAACACAATGTAAGAATGAAAATCATCAGCTATTATATACAGCTGAAATATATATATATATATATATATATATATATATATATATCTGAAACAGCTGTCATTAAAAGTATATACAGTATTCCTAAAATGTTAGGAGTTCTTTTATTTCAGTAAAACAAACGTGGTCTGTTTAATCATAGCTGCAAATAAACAAAACCAAACTTAGAAGAATGACGCAAGCAGGTACTGTACTGAATTTGGAGAGGGAAGCTGCTGAGCATTTATAAACAGCAGATGCTCTAGAATAATTTATGTCTATTTTCTTCAAATACTAAGAGAAATATATTATGCACATAGGACCCATCTCAAAACAAGACTCAGCTGCTTTCAGCATTATATTCGGAGGCTACTTCTGTCTCCTGCAGGCCACTCTCTTGATCACAGGCTATTCCTCAGAGACAATCATAACGAGCTACGGTTGTATCCTCTTAACAGAACAGCAAAGTACATCCCATCCCCACTAAAACCCTTCAGTTATCACAATCATGCTAAATTTGAGAAAATCTATCATACTGTTTCATTAAACCTTAACATAAGCTTGCTTGTTCAGAGACAGGGACTCAGTACACGGCCCAGGCTGGACTGGAGCTCAGGCTCTCTGGGTCCTCCTGCTCCAGCCTCCTGACTTGCTGGGATACTGGCAGGCTATGTGTTTGTTTAACACAACACACCTAAAAAAAAAAAAAAAAAGAATCTCGTTGTAGAATTTTTGGTAAATATAAGATGCATAGCAAAAATAAACAAGTCCTACTACAATTACAAAACATAAAAATTAGAGCTAATTTTATCTGACCCAAAGAACAACCTTTCAACTAATCTGATCCTACTTTGTCTTTGCCCTGAATATGAATAACAGAAAACATAAAAGACTTATCTTTATCATTAGCCCTTCTGATGTGATTCCTTTAAGGCAGCGAACTGGGTGAATGCAATGTCAATCATTTTCAAGGGGAAAGATATGGTATTATACAGCTTAGTTCTAACACTATCCCCTGGCCACAGGTAGTTTTATACCATTAAACTTAATTGTTTCTGATCATCTGAATGCCATTATTTTGGGCAACATAACATGTCAAAGCTTTCATTGAAGTCATAAGTGCAAGGGGTTTGGCTCACATTTGCAAAGCTCTTAAAATTTGTTTTTAAATTTTTACAAGGATTTTTGTTGTCTCATTGTCTCTCAATAACTCTATAAGCAGGTGGGCCTAGAAAGGTCAAGAGTGCTGCCTAATCATAAGAGCCACAGGAGCTGAAATTTCAGCCCAGATCTTCTGATTTTTAAGTCTGATACTCACTTTAAAGAATAATCACAGGGAATAATTCCACCATAAGAGTAATTTGCATATTTTTTATATTAGCAAGCTGGTGTAACTGTCCATTTTAAGGGCAAAGATTTTTTGAGCAAAAGCAAGAATGCTTAAAAATTAAAATATTCAAAGAGGAATAAACAATCTTTGCAAGCTATTTTACAGGATAGTGTGGATAAAGAAAACTGAGTTCTTAACATTTTTTTCATAAACAGGAAGAAATAGTAATTCCTTTTTATTGGCAATTTATTATTCCTGGGGTTGAAATGCTAACACCATATGATGTAATGAGAATAGACTTTCAAATTAAATGAGACATTTTAAAAAATAGGGTTATTCGTAACAGGAGCCCAGCGGGCATTCTGTATTCCCAAATGCCATCTCTAAAACAGAGGAACTGACCAGCTGGTTCATGCTGGGTGGGAGACTTTGGGGAGGGAGGAGGGCCTGAGAAGGTTCCTTCCAATACTCTCCAGCTTACATGTCCTCACTGGAAGAAAGAAAAGCTCAAGTGAAAAAAGAAATGCTTGCAAGCTACGAACTTCACACCAGTTCCTGTAACTTGCAGTGGGCTGAGGAGGCTATTGTGCTCGGAAATCAGGGAAGCCCCATTTCCAGGACACTCAGAATTCATTTACAGAAGAAAAAAAAAAAAAAATCAAACATTAATGTCTCTCGAAACCACAGAAATATAATCTGTCTCAGAAAAAGAGGTGAAGTCTGATTTCTGAAAATTAATAAATAGGAAAAAATACTATGGTCATGTATGTCAGTATTTATAATAAAGAAGAGTTTTTAGAAAATAGG